TTTTCTAGAAAATAATTGCCATCAACATGGTGGGAGTGGGGCAGTTGAAGATCCTGCGAAAAAAAGGTAGACTTGGGCGAGGATAGGTCCACCGATGACGAGAAGCCCATTAGAGAGAAAAACAATGCTCCCCAGGATGATTAATCAGAAGAAGACCCTGGGGGTAAGCCGTATATTTCGCCGAGTCTCTAAAAGCAAGTTGACATGGTCAAGAACGGACTATGCCCCAAATGCAAATCCTTTTACGAGATCGTTCCAGACAAAGAGGAGTGAGAAGAATCGTCCAAAAGGCCATGAAAGAGGTGTCATTACAAAGGTACTCATTAGAGCAGCCAATTGAGTGGCCACTGCCCAAGTGGGATTACAAGGATCATCCTGGCAAGTTCATATGACTGAGTTATAGAGAGCATGGTAGAGATGTACTGGAACCTTTGAAAGGTCGGCAAGGCCCAAGATACGAGAAATTCACCACGAGATTGGCACCTGATCAACCCATCATAGTCGAGGCCATCGAGATCAACCCAGGATGGTGAAACCAATAGAGCCGTTGGAGGGCCATTGGTAAGTAGCCCAACAACTGGAGTGGACTTTCTTTATATGGATTAGACTTTCTTCATTTCCAAGGTCCACAATCTCAACATTACTGATCACGCCAGTGACCACATCATTGAAAGAAGGCGCCAGCAGAACTAAACTAGCTACGACCATAAAAGGAGCCGTAGAAGTAGGAATAGTAGTTAGGCCGAGAAGCTCAAGGTTTCCAAAGATGGATCTTGAGAGGCCCCTATGTTGACCAAGTGGGTCACAGAAGGAGGAGTGTCATCATGTTGACGAACACGACGCACAAGGGGATCATCATCTTCAACATCTTGTCCCTCATCAACTTGGGCATGACAAACAAATGTGGAGGGAGTTGCAGAAGAACGTCGCTACTTGTCCTTGTGGTGGGGCCGTGTTGGAGAAATGGGAATAGTGGTGGAAGCTAGATTCGTAGAGGTTGCAAAATCAATGTCAACTTCCCAAGCAGGACCAACAGAAGGAGAGAAAGTCCTGATCAGGCTAGCCCTAGGGGATGATTGAACTCGTGACGAAAAGTTCACGTGGTTAAGAAGAATGGCCATAAAGTTGTAGAGAAACATATCATTTACACCAAGCCTTAGCAATCTTTGGAACATCGAATGACTCAATAAAAGAGGTCATTCAAAAGGAATGACAAACAAGAGAGTAACGACGACTGAAGTCTCAAACATTCACATTGATCACATTAAGCTGATTGATGTAGCCAATATTGAGAATGGAGGTAAAAGGATAAGGAATTTGTTGCACTAGGTCAAATTGAGGAGCAAATTACTGAGTTATGTAAACCTCGACACTGAAGTGAGCATTGGCGTAATGAATCGACCCTAGGCCGTAATGCAATTCTCAGGGGCGAAGATAGGAAAACCAGGCATCCTCGTGAGAAGTAGCAATGTCAGCAAATGCTTCCCCGGGCCTATACAGGAACCATTTTGGACCTCGGTTCCAGGCAAATGACATCCAAAACGGGTCGTGAGTTGTTCAAGATATACAAATAAGATAAACAATTAGTGAAGGACTGTTTCCTAGAAGAGGCTGTGTCAAATAGGTGATTGTAAGAAAAAAAAAGGCGTTACCAGCAGGTGAGAGGCTATGGAAAATAAGCATGAAGCCATAGTTAAAGCACCCAGAGGGGTTCCAAATCTTTTTGCATATTCGATGCCACCGTCTCTCACATCCCATGATAGAGGTAGGCAAGCATGACAAGAGTAAGAGCATAAGAAGCTCCGGCAGCCAAATAGACGATTAACAAAATATACTCCTTGGTTACTTTGTAAGACGAAGTGTAGAAAAGAATTGGTTAAACTAATAAAGCAAGAACAAAATATGTTCTTGATCTGATACTGGAGAGCAATCATTGCATCAACATGCTATGATGGAAAGATAATAGGCTGTGCTTTGCTTATTTTGCACGTCAAGTGAAAATGTATAGCTTGTTTTAGTATGTGTAAGCAGAGCGTTAGCCTTGGTCTCGAATAGAGGAAGACCGAGAAGAACGGATATATCATAGACCATGGGGCCTATCATGCCAAAACAGAAGTGAAAGACATTTTTCGCCACAAACCAAAATAGGAGAGTGACACTGAGCAACGACTTGTCAATAAGCATCGTGATAATGCTAAGTTCTATGTCATCATAAATGCCAAGGCGATGTCATAGAGGTCCCTTGGCTGCCTTAACATGAGTAACCCATGATATCCAATTGAAAGATGGGGTCTTCCATGCATGAACAGGATTACCACTGAGCCAATTTGTCCATTGGAAAGGTTCATCGAAGTTGAAAGGCATAGATATATGAGAGTCAGGGCAAATGCATCGAACTTCGCCTGGAGGCATTTCTTTGAAGGTTGGCCCAAGGGCCATTTTCTGGAGAAAAAAGTCAAGGAGCGGATTAAAAGTACAAATAGTGTATTGAGTAGCTTGCATTCGTGAAAGTGTTGCTTCAAGAGCAACAATATGAGGAGCCATCCATTAAAGAAAAAGAAGAGAAGGTCAGAATAATGACAAAGCAATAGGTCTTGGGATAGATTAAATAGGCGTAGAGAACGAGCCAAAACAATGATTAAAAGATATGGACGTATCGAGTGCCAGTCGTTTCTTACAGATCAAAAAAGGTGAAGGATAGACCGAAAGACTACACTTGGAACTTTAGCTGCAATTCCCGAGCTTCTTGGACAATGACGGTATGATAGCTAAGTAGGGCAAGTGTAGTGGCAAAAGTTTAAATTCAAAGAGCCAAAACGACGCCCCATATATGGATTATTCAGTCGCATCATTTTGAGGGGGCAATGTTTACGCCCAAAAATAGCAAGATCAAAGTGTAACACACAGAAGGGATTTGACGGACATAAAGAAACTTGTGTGAGTCAACGATTGACAAAACGATTATAGAAATAAGACTCTTAAAATCCTGAGAAATGAGAAAACGTGATATCATGAGCCACCAATTGGAGACGATTCAACGCACATCCACGCATCTCAAGAGATAAGGCCATGATCATAGTAATGGCTGAAAAAAATGGGTCAATAGTTAAAGGTCATCTCTATAAATAATAGAGGCTAGGCCACTAGAAAATAATCTACAATCAAACACACAAACTCTTCAGAAAGTCAGCCTACCTTATTCTTGTTTCTTACTCCTGAGCAATTTTACTTTCCTTGTAATAATCACTCCGGTGATCTTTTACTGCTTTTATTTAATGTTAAGTGCAGTATTCGTTTCATTTTCTAGACTCAAATTCAGTTTATTTGTTACTTTTTATTTTCGTTGTTCTCTTTACGGTGTAGTCCATTACGCTTTTATTTGGAAAATTATTTAAAGTCTTTGAACCATAAGGTATAAAAAAAAACTCAGAGCTAGCCTTACACTTCGCTATAATCATTTGAACAATTATGATTTTAGAACCTCACATTAGTTCGAGTAGGTAAAGTCATACGTGTTTAGATTTTAAATTTAATCGGACTTTGGCACACCTGCAATCCGAAAATACACCAAACAGGTACTTTTATAAAAAAATTGATCTTTGTTTACCTTTTCCAACCATATATTGTCTAATCAAATCAAGTTCTCTCTCAAAAAATATGATATTGAGGGAGAAATTCAAAAATTAAAAATTTTTGGATAAATTTCATCTACACCCCCACATCTTCAGAGACACCTTTTCTATATTCTAAAACTTCACTAAGACATTTTGTCAGATAATGTTTTCAAACGGTATTAACAAAGATTTTGATCATACTAAAATGCCCATGAGATATTTTAGGTTTGATTCATCTACTTGTTTGCATTTCGGTCTATGCTAACAATTTTTTTGATTTCTAGTGATTCAATTTATTCTTCTATTTGAATCAGTAATGAAAATAGTTTGTTTATTATATTTTTCACATATTATGAGCCTAGTGTGGTCTATTTTTTTTTTTTCATTTATCAAAAATATTTTATTCTTTTTATATGGTAGTGAGGACTTTTTTTTTTTTTTTTTTTGCACATCCCTCCATCATCGTTCCTCCATAACCATAACCTATGTTTTATGCTTTAATCAAAATTGTTTTATTTTTTTTTTCAAATTTGTGAAAATTCACAGATATGAAATCAATTGGCCATGAATTACTCTTTGAATATGATCACAAATACCCAAGTCCAATTACAAAAAATTAAGATTTAAGACTTGTCATTTCATTGAGATTTAGGACACAATGCTTTATGTAGATAGTGGCATTGTATCTTTTTTAGTTTTTACATATATAAGAGTAAGTTTGAAATTTTTGAGAAATTTTTTTGCCATGTCATTCACTTTTTCTATTGTGAGAAATGAAACGTTAACCATACAGTAATGCTAGACTGATCAAATTTTAGGATCAATTTAAAATTCAAATGACATGACAATTGATTTGAGTTTCTTTGATTGATGTCATGTTATTTGAGCCTCAATAAAAATTTTAAATAATCAATTACCATGTCATTTAAACTTTAAATTTAAACCCAAAATTTGGTCAATATAGTATTACTCTTAACCATAGGAGGGTGAACTGAAAGTAATAACAAGGAGTGCATTGTAGTTTTAAAATGTAAAAAAAAATTGTCTATAAATATACAAGTAAACGAAATATTAGGAAAATTTATAATATAATACAGAATAAAGTTCAATAAATCTATTTAACCGTTTTAACATAAATTTATCATCCAACTATTACTAGTATCTTTCTTAAAATAATTCACATTAAATTGTATTGTATTTTCCTCTCATTACTTTTCACTCTCTCTAAGATACTCTCACTAAGATCTTCGATCATCACTTTCCTAAATTAATCGATTCATTTATATTGTATAGTACATTTAGACACGAGTTTCTCAACAATCCTAATCTTAGACAGAGAAATTCATAACTTCAAAACCTAACGTTAACTCAATCACAACTCACAAACTAGACGATTGGGATTTGTGGGACCACATAATCCACCACCAACACACTATCAAGCAATTCCTTCACCTTCTCATTCTCATTGACGAGCTCCAAATTTGAATCCAGTTCTTCCAATTCACTCAATCCCGGAAAAACCCTAATCGATCCGATCGTGTAACCCTTGGCTTTCACCGAAATTTTTTCCCCAAAACTAATCTGATCAATTGGATCAACTTTCTTTTCCCTGTCTCCAAAAACCTCCAAAATTTTTCGTTTTCCTTTTTTCTTCTTCTTCTAAACCCTCCTTCAATTTCAAGAACGTAACTCTCATGGCCGAACCGGGATTTATGACCACTGGAACGGTGACGTCGTCGTTGACCCAGTCGAGGGACATGATGTCATCGACGATCGGAGTGATGAGTTCGTCGACGACGCTGACGTGGCTGGGGTGTAATTTATAATCGGCGAGATCGGTTTGGGATTTATAGCGAGTGTGGAGGATGTGAGTGAAGGAGAGGGACTGGGATCGAGTGCGGAGGAGTGCACCGGCGGTGAGGTGGAGCACTTGGTTGATGGACGTTAGGCTGTTGAGGCCGTTGACGAAGGCGTTGACTTGGGAGGGTCCGTGTTGGGCTTGACCTTGAAGAGGACAATGTGTTCGACGATGTGGTGGTGGTGTGTAGTTTCGGTCGACATTTTGATTGACAACGGCGTTGTGGTTGTATAGGGTTTGAAGTGGTGGTGGAGGAGGAATTTGAGAGGTGAGACGTAGGAGAGAGAGTGGGGATATTAGGACCCCTTACCAGTGAAGGACCTTATCCTAAGGGTCAGAGAGGGAGGATATTCGGACCCCTTCCTACCGAGAGACCTTATCCCATTAGGGTTTCTACCGTTTCTAATCGTGGGTATGTAATAACTTTTACTTTGGTAATGTAACAAAGGACTCTCCTTACAAATGAAATGAATATTCATTTTTGAAAATTATTTTTTGTTTCTAGAGAACACTTCATTTAGCGGAGTCAAAATATGATATGTAGTATAAACATAGAGGATCTATTCTGATGACGTGAATTCGTGTGGACGAGCAAAGAGAATGAATTGTGCTTGATGACTTAGGCCTGAGCTACAAGACTTGTGAGAATCGTGTTGAAATTACTGGAGAATTAGAGAAGTTTACACAATGAAATTATAGTGGTTCACCAGTTTTGAAGTTCGATTAATTTACTATTTTTAACGGAGGCTCTGCTTTTTTGATAAAAAGAGAGGTTCACAGAGTAAAGTCTGCGTAACTAGGGTTCTTCCTCTTTTCTTTTTTCTTCCTCTTTTTTAAATGGGGAATTATACAATATTTATAGAGCCGTCCCTTATTCTATGGGATCTCCACCGAGATCTTTGTCTCTTATCCTTGGATTCCTCCTTGATTTTTGGAGAATATCTTGGTCGGTTGAGGATTGTGTGCCTTGAATATGACTTTTTGCCACCTGTAGGGATCCTTCAACACCTAGCTATTCTCTTGTCTCCTCCGCTGCTGTCTTGTCTAGCGTGAGCTCTTAGCTTTGGTCCTCTGAGCTTTGCATAACTTGTCTGACCTCCATGTCTGAGCTCACTTAGAATTTATTTTTGGTATCATCAGTTGCCCCCAGCTCTTGGTCGAGTTGGCTTGCGCAAGGGCTGAGCTCGAACTGAGACAGATTAGACTTTTATTGGGTGACCTCGATATCTGTGCGAACATATTTCTAGCGGTTTTCGTCAATCATTTCTCTTCTCGTTTCTCGTGCGTATTGTCCATTTTGAACCCCTTTGCACTGTTAGCTTTAAATACTCTTAGACCAACGGTCTTCCCCTCACTCTTCAACTTCTCTCTGGCTTTTTCCCCTTTGTTCCCTTGCGACTTCTTCTCCTCCGATTTGTCGTCGTTCTTAGGGTTTCTCAGGGAGACGATTTCCTCTAATTTGATATGAAGGCTTAACAGGGTTCGTTTTCAGATTTTGTTCTCGAGCTTTAGTCCATCGTTGATCTTCGTCTAGGTATGTCTTTCATCTTTTTCGCAATTCCTCGTTCTGGATCCCTTAAATCTGAGGTAGTTATTGTATTTTTGGACCTTTTGGTTATGCTATTTTAGGAATCAAAATATTTCTCTTTCTCGCATTGCCCTATTTTTAGACCCTTATTCTATGGCTAGGATTTTTGTTATTGGTCGTTGGTGTCTTGCCCTCCTGACTCAGAGAGTGTTTCTCAGAGGTTCTCCCATTTTACAGGTCTTTTAGGCTCCCTTTTTTCTAACCCAACTATGTCTATTTCGTCTGAGGCCACGGGTTCATCCATCTCTCTAATGAGGGACAGATTTTATGAGGCAGATTCTGATTTGGGAGATGTGGGACAGGAAATTGATAACTTCCCTGGGGTGGACTTTATCGAAGTCGGGGGTGGTTCTGAGGAACCTCCTTTGCCATCCCTCCTAGCTCCTAAAGCCACCAACAAGGGCAAAACCAAGGTAAGCGATGTTAGGATTTCTGGCAATGCCGAAGGTGGAGGGCCTGCTCCTAGAGCTGCTGAGCTCTTGGGCCCTAGTGACCTCGTTCCTTCTTATTTTAAGGTTTTAAAATGTCATTTTGGCTTTTCTCAAGGTGTGCAGTTCTGGAGTCTAGACATGTACACCAGATATGATTCTTCCATCCCTAAGAAAATCCATTTCTTCATGGCCGCTTTTGAGAATGGCCTACGCTTTCCCATGCATCCCTTTATCAAGGGCATTTTGCAGCATTTCAATGTCTGTCCTGCTCAGCTCTCTCCTAATTTTTGGAGTGTGTTGGTGGGCCTCCTTGTTTTCTTCAAAAAACACGATCTTGGGGTCCCTATTGTTCCTTTGATCATGAAATTTTTTAATGTCAAGTACACTCCTTTTGACGGTTTTCTGTATATCTCCAAGCCTGTGAAAACCAAAGTTCTTATCTCCGACCTCTCGAGCTCCCACAAAAGTTGAAAAAACTTTTCTTTTTCGTATGGGGGAGAGACTGAGAGTTCAACTCCAACGATGTGACTGATACTCCTCCAATTCCTCGGGGCTAGTCTGCCCCAAATAACTTGGGTGAACCTTTTCTTGAGCAAGTTAGGATAATCCTTAGTGTCCTTCTTAGCTAACTGGTTTTATTTTTCAGGCATCATACCAGAGCTCAGTGTTGCAGATGAGCGAGTTTTAAGGAGTTTGGCCAACTACAACTCAGAAAAATATTCAGAGCTCATCCAGCCCTAAGTTCTTGTAGAGCTTGGATTCAGTTCTCATGCGGTGAAGATCGAGAATCTCATTCCCCTCTCCGCTGTCAGTGCTGAGGAAGTGGCAGGTTTGTTTCCTTTTTCTTCCCTTTAAGCCCTTTTTGCCTCTTACTCTTTCCCCCCCCCCCCTTTTTTTTTATTCCCCTTAACTTATTCTTATGCTTCCAGGTTCTTCCACTACACGGCCTTCCCAAGAAGCACTTGAGGCCAAGGTCGCTTTGTTAAAGAATAACAGAAGTGGGGCTAAGCGTAAGGCCAAGGTTGGTTCTGGCAGCAACATCCCCCCTCCAGCTAAGGCATCGAAGGTGGGTGTGTCTTTCGTTCCCACTACATCTGCCCAAGTGGCGTTTATTCCATCACCAAGCGTTTCACCATCTTCAAAGACCTCTTCTCCCACAAACTCTCTCTTACTCCCGGAGGGGCTCTTGAGCCGACCTCCCCCACTTCAGCTGAGGTCAAGAAGGCTTTGGCGTCAGTAACTCGAGTCTTGCTTGTTGCTGTTTCTTTTGAGTGGCCTGAGAAGCCTCTAATACCATCTCGGAGTAGTCCCAAGACTGAGAAAGGGAAGCAGGCTAAAGAGGATGGCTCTTTCCTAGATGACGCTGAGCTCGCTGCAAGCGCTCTTGATTCCATCATTCCCCTTTTTAACGTCCAAAGGGCTGTTACCATGTCGCTTGAGAACTCCATCAATATAGCTCTGCATAGAGCTGCCATGGTAAGACCTCATTTCATTCGTTTCTTAACTCCATTTTTTTGGTGATCGTTCTATGCTGACTTTCAATCCTTGCTGCCTTTGCTCTTAGATGACCATCTACACGAAGGAGTTGTTAAGTCGAATCTGGGATTTGGAGAGCTTTGCAAAGGCCTCGCAGGCATTTGAACTCAAGTGTGCCGAGCTGGCCTTCGCCAACCATGATCTTCAAACCCACATTCAGGACTTGCAAACACAAGTGAAAAAGCAAGCTTCGACCATCAGAAGCTTAGAAGCGAACAAAGAGAGAATCCAAAAAGAGCTCAAACTTAAGACAAACACCTGGGCCAAAGCTAGTCAAGAAGCATCAGAAGTCCTAAGCTCTTATAGGAACATGAAAAAGGAGTACGACGTCCTGGCTGAGGTGAGTGATACTCTCCAAAATGAGCTCAAGGCACAGAAGGCCATGGTGAAGAAAAAAGATGCCCTCGTTGATAAACTGATGGATGACATTACAACTAAATGGGCCACTGCATGGCTTGCCTTCCAAGAATGAGCTGAAAAGGTGTACCCTAATCTAAGCTTTGACTTTGAGATTCCTCCTCAACACGAAGAGGAAAAGGCCAACACAGGGGACGCAGGTGTGGACCCTGAGCTTCCTCCCCTCCTTTGGCTACCCTAGTGGTTCTTACCTCAAAAACTATTCCTGTCCAAGTAACTGTCGAGCTCCCGGTCAGCTCTTCCACTTCTTCTCCCATTATTCCTTTTTCTACAGATCTTATGACCAAGGCTCTTGCCTAGAGTTCTCCAGGAGCGGAAATTGAGGTCCTTGCTTTTGGTCTTTCTAACATTTTTGATGCTGATCAACTAGGAGGTTCGTCTGCTACTCCACCAAAAGAGTCAACTGCCAAATTATCAGGCTCCTTTCCTCCTGCTCTTGCTAAATCTTAAGATAGGGTTTTTTTTTTTTTTTTTGGCCTTACCTGGCTAGAACTTTTCACCTTTAAATGTAAATTTGATGAATGAAATAGTACGTGGGGCTGATTAATACTTTGTTTGTTTACCATTTTTAGTAAGAAACTAATTTTCAGATCTTAATACCGACTCGAAATGAACAGTGCCACTAAACTCATCTATGTAATTATGTCTAATACCACCTCCCTAGGTTAGATTAGAATGAGATAGAAAACTAACAATTGTACTAGATCAGTAAATTACGGTATTGACTCTTTTAATGCTTAATGTTCAAAATCAAAACAAGGGCATTAAAGTCAATTTATATAAAATAAATTCTTTATTTTTGTTGTTGGGACCATAAGAAAGTAAATTATAATGTTTACCTTTCAAGTGTCTAATAATCTTAACCAAAATGGAAGGTATTTAAGTCAATTACTAAATACAATCATTACTTTTATGTGAAACTGACATACATTGCAAGAGTCACAAGCCAAACATGAAATAGGATTAAAAAAGATTTAAATTATGTCTTTCATACCCATGACATTAGAGAGGATAAACAATAAACCCCTAATTCCATCTATCCTTCTCCTTAAAACAAAAACATCCCTGAGGTTTTATTCTGATAAGGTGTAGCTACATGGTGAAAGTGGAAGCCCAAGCTCATAGAGATCATGTTTGAAAAATAATAATAAAAAGTAATTTTTTTTCGTTTGCAACAAAGTAACTGCAGGGAGAACTTATGGACTGAATTGAATCCTTCTTTTTTCCTGATATGTTGCTCCGCGAGCAAGCAACTAGAGAACTAAGTGAGTTGTGGTGATGTTAGAATTTTGGTACCTTTTTGTACCTATTTAGTGATCAATTCGCTAGTTTTTTTTATCCTAGTCGGCATTCCTTTTTCATTTTTCTTCAAAGAAAAATGTTTAATTTTAGTTTTCATTGACTAGAATTTAGTATATATATATATATATATCACCTCTTTTAAATTCTTACGACTAACTTACCAATTAAAATGTTCAAGAAAATCCCAATTTGCCCCCTTATAGAT